CTTAGGGGAGCACCACACTTTTTGAGTTTTATCTCCAGAAGCCCTACCATGTTCTAACAGTAAAGATCAGGTTGAAAAGAAAAAGAAAAAAAAAAAAAAAAAAAAAATCACCTTAAGTTTCCTGGCAGGGGAGAGGGGTAAATTACTATTTTGAAATAGCCCAAGAGCATTCCGTTCTCCTTAACAAGGGCCTGCCTATGTACACAATAAACTATTTTATCAGAGCTTAACCAACATGTCGAAAGAGAAATCCCCAACCCCAGTCCCCTGTAGCCTTTACGTATCATCTAAAGATGGGAAAGAAACTGAGAAGCACCTGTGAAGGTCCGAGCCCAGAGGCACAGCCCACTAAAAGACGGAGAACTAACCATAAGATTATAGCATGCTGCCCCCCTCTCATATTTTATTTTGTTGCTGTGTGGTTGAGAATATACACAGCAAAACATACACCAGTTTAACAGTTTTTACACGTATAATTCAGTGACAGATCACATTCTTTGCGTTGTACAACCATTCCCACCCTCCTTCTCTTTGTTGTTCCTCTCCCATCAACATAAACTCACTGCCCCCTAATGTTCCTGTCTAATCTTTTGAGTTGCTGTTGTCAATTTCATACCATATGAACCAAACATACTGCCACTGGGTTGATTCCAACTCATAACAACCCTGTAAGACAGGGCAGAAACTGCCCCATAGGGTTTCCAAGGCTATAAATTTTTACAGAAGCAGACTGCCTCATCTTTCTCCCACAGAACGGCTGGTGGGCTACCGACCTTTTGGTTAGCAGGCGAATGCCTTAGTCACTGCACCATCAGAGCTCTACTGATCCCATACAGACAGGTCTTAAAAGGACATGACTATCAAGGCAGGCATTCTTTACTGTTAAGCTAAACTACTGTCTAGTTTTAAGAAGGAGACATTTTTGGTTTAAAGTGTAAAGATTATCTCAGGGCATTAGTTTTGGTTGTTTATCCAATCTCCGTGGCTCCAGAGTGACTGGATTCCATGAGAAATGGAAAGTCTGTTCTGCACTTCCCCTCATCTGATCAGTATTCTTCCATAGAATCTTTGATCAAAACATTAAGTAAAGGCAGCCAGCATCATCCAGTTCCTCTTGTTTTATGGCAAAGAAAGCAGTTGTTCATGGAGGCAATTAACCACACATTCCGTGTCTTCTTCCTATTCCTGACTTGCCTTCTTCCTCTATTTCTCCAGATGACTACAGACC